GTAAAAATCAAAGGATTTCATGGTACAATGAAACAGTAAACAGTGCTCAATTTACTGCTAATGTTGAAAAAAACCTAGATTTTACAGTACTCTGGTATATATGAAAAATTTTTTGATTTTACATTGCATATTTCTGAGTCCATTCTCTTGCATGTCTGTTGTATTTTTCTTTGTCTGATTTATAGATTTGTGCAATATCTGGTACTAAGGGGTCATCAGGATTAGGATCACAAAGTAGAGAACATATGGACAATAGAACTTTTGATACAGTCAGAGCCGGTGACCACTGTGACGTCAGGATATCAAGACAAATACTTCCATTACTGTTTATATTTGAACGGTAAATTTTTGTTGTGAAAGCAATGGTCATCTCCCACAGGTCCAGCTGAACAGTGAGCAGGTGGGTCACGTTGCAGATCACTTAATTCCTGTGCAGTGCCCGCCGGCCCGGACCCCCCTCCCCTCCCGTGCGCTCTCGGCGCGCCTCTCGGGACCACCGCCCGGGTCAGCGTGGGCAGGTTGCCGAAGCGAGCCGCGCCGCCCCGGGCCTGGCCCTGGCACTCACTTTCTGAATCCGCTTCAGCGTGATGGGTCAGGGAGGGCGGCGGGGACACCGGCCGGCGGGGGGCGGCTGCGGGCTCGGGGTCGTGCGGTGGTCGCGGGCCCGGCTCGCCTCTCGCTGGCTGGCTCCCGGCGCCGGTGCCCACTCCGTTGGATTTTTTTTTTTTCATGTTCCCAGTTTGCACATACTGTTCAAACCTTTGCTCTAAATTCTAGATTCTTATCTCAGCAGTGCAATGGATATTTCTGCTTGACTCCTCACATCTCAAATCTAATATATCTAAAATGGAGGAACTGTTTTCCCTTTTAAACTGTTCTCTCCATAACTGTCCACCAAATTATTCAAGCCAGAAATCTAGGAGTCATTCTTTTTTTAATTGAAGTATCACTGATACACAATCTTATATTGGTTTCAAGTATACAACCCAGTAGTTCAGCAGTTACTCACATTAGTAAATCCTCACCCCCACTAATGTGGTTACTGTCAACACAGAAAGATGTTAACAGAATCACTAACCGTATAATTCTTCCCTGTTCTTTTTCTTCCATTTCCATCATCAAACCCTGTCTATTTTTTCTTCACAATTATATCATGGATTCTTCCACTTCTCTGTTATGGACAACTTTTTTCCAGACTGCATTTACTCTTAAATTATTGCAGTACCCTCCCATCTGGTCTCCCCACTTACATGCTTGCATTTCTGCAGATTAGATGGGAGGAGATGAGTAAAAATGATCTTATATTACTACCCAATAAGAAACAGACTAACACCCCATTAGAAAAATGGGCAGGGCACACAGACAGTTCACAGAAAAGGAAATACCATTACTTTTAAACTTGTGAAAGATATTCAACCTCACTTACAATAAGAGAAATATAAAAATTACAATGAGGTACTAGTTTTCATTTGTTACACTGCAAAAGTTTTTGAAGGGCTATTGGGAAGAAACCATCAAATCAAAAACCCTACATATCTGTTGACTCAGCATAAATTCTAGGAATTCATGACACCTGCACATGCATGCAAAGTATGTATAAGGACATTTTAATATTGTTTGCTATAAGAAAAGACTGGAAACAACTAAATATCAACCATTAAGAAGCTAATTAAGTACATTATGATAACAAGCAAATGAGTACACTGTTGGGATATTTTTTATGCTTTGAATACGTTCCTCTCCTCTTTTCACACAGCTCTCTCTGTAGACCTCAGCTAAAATATCACACCCCCGAAGGCCTTCTCTAATCATTCTTTCTAAAGTAGGTCCTCTCTCTCCTTTTTTTCACTTACCATATCTTGCAGTTATTTTGTTAGTTCACTTGTATTTTGGGCTCCCTCTCCCTGTAGAATGTAAGCTCTGAATGGGCAGTCTGAATAGGTTTTTTTTCACTATTGTATCCCTAGCATCTAGTTTTATATTTGGCACTCAGTATGTATTGATTGAATGAATGACTAAAATAACTGAGTGACTGTTGAACCTCAAATGACATCATCTTTATTGGTGAAATACTAAAAGCACTCAATACATGAGCAAGGTAAGAATGTCAGGTGTGATGATGTGATTTAAATACATATTTGGTCTTCATGCCCCTCTCTGGCCCAGAGCTTCCCAAATGCTTGGAATTTCCCAAGTGGTAAGAGCAAAGAGCCTCTCTTGTCACAATATTTGGTCTTTTGTCCTCAGTTCTTGAATTAGCTCTGTTACCTGAAAGGTAGGAGTATCTTGTTATTGATAACAAGTCCCTTTCAGTCAGACCTTTGTAATGTTAATAAGGTAACTTTTGGATAGTCCCTCAGGATGGGGGCTGGTTGCCATGGGAACCAACTGTGTGATTAGAGAGTTGGAACTTTCAGCGCCCTCTCCTCTCCCAGACCTCTGGAGAAGCAAGAGCAATTGGGAATTGAGTTCTATCACCAATGAATGATTATTTAGTCAATCATGCTTATTTATTGAAGCCTCCATAAAAACCTAGAAGAATAGGGTTCAGAGAGCTTCTAGATTGGTGAACACATGGAGGTGCTGGAAGTGGCACACCCAGAGGAGGGCATAGAAGTTCTGTGCCCCTTCCTGCATATCTTGGTCTATGCATCTGGTTGTTACTTTTATAATAAGATGGTAATGTACTAAGTAAAATGTTTTCCTGAGATCTTTGAATCACACTGGCAAACTAATCAAACTCAAGGATGGGGTTGTGGGAACCTCTGATTTACAGCCAGTTGGTCAGAAGCACAGGTAATAACTTGGACTTGCAGCTGGCATCTGAAGCAGGGAAGGGGGCAGTCTTGTGAAACTGAGCCCTTAACCTTTGGGATCTGACCCTGTGTCAGAATTGAGTTAAACTACAGGGCACCCATAGTGTCCCAGAATTGCTTAGTGTGTGGAAAACCCACACATCTAGTGTCAGAAGTGAGGTTGTGTTGCAGTAGAGTATTTAGAGGAGAGATGCAGAGAGTTATGCCATCAGGTATCATTGTTTCTATTGAACATTATTCTGGAATCATAACCAAAGCAATAAGACAAGAAAATATAAGAAATGTAAATACCCCTCCATTTTAGTGAGACAGATAGGTAAGAAACAAAATCATGATGTCAGCTGTTGCTAAATGCTATGGGAAAAATATAAAGCAAAATAAGGGAGATAGACATTGGGATGAAATGGGAGAGGTACTTTTTTGTTGAGAGTGCTTAAGAAAGAAAAATGAGATAGTAGTATTTGAATAGGAACCTGAAGGAAGCCATGGGTGGTCAAGGGAGTGGGGAGCAGAGGGAGACCCTTACAAGCAGCAGGAACAGCAGATACAGGGTGGGAGGAGGGAGCATGCTTGGTGTGCCTGAGGCTGAGCCTTGGGGCATTGCCATGTTTCAAAATGGTGAAAATGAAGAATCAGCAAAGGAGTAGTTGGAGATGTAAGAGAATAAAGAGAGAAGGTACTTGGATGCCAGGTGAAGAACTTTTTTCCAGGAAGAGGGAACAACTAAGTGAAATGTTGCTGATGTGTTGGGTAAGATGAGGACAGAGTACCGTCTGACTTGGGAGACTTTGATGAGCTGTTCCAGTGGAGTAGTGGGGGCAAAGTCCCCACTGGAATAGGTTCAGGAGAGAATACATGGAGTCCAGAGGACTCCGGAGGATCGTGCCATGAAAGGGAGCAGGAAAATGGGATGCAACCAAGGAATAGATTTTTTTAAATGGGAGGGTTTTTTTTGTTAGTAAGCATAAAATGATGGGAATTATCCAATAGACAGGAAACAACAGTCGCTCAGAAAAGTGGGTAGAGTAACAGGAGTATCCTTAAGCTCCAGAGCAGGATTGTGTGTGGAGAGATTGAAGTAGGAACAAAACGGACATCCACAGGGTCAGGAAGGAAGGCTGAGTATGTCAGAGAATTAGGTACGGTTAACAGCAGCATGCAAAACCAAGCAGAGCACCAGCAGATCATTTTCTGCTCTTGCTTTTTTTCCTTACTCTTGGCATCTTTGAGATTTCCATTTCTTTGACCTATGCATGTTTGTTTTTTTTGGTTCCTTAAGATTAACATTTCTGTGGGTTAGTGGTGGGAGTAGTGCGGTCCTTGAGTCAGTCCAGGGTGTTGTGATGCTGGAAGAGAGAAATTAAAAATAGATCCTTTGAAAGAGTTTGAGAAGCCATGATGTATGTTAGAAGGGAAAAAAATTATACAGAGAGATTCTAACGTCATAATTGAATGTATCAGTATATACAGCGTATGCCATCTGGTAGCTATTTGAATGTTTATAACAAAAAGTTTATAATAAAAAGTGAAAAGACTCATCTGGGTAAATAAGCATAGTTGAAAATATTTATGGAGAAGTTAATTTAAGCTTTGTTGTTGACTTTATTTTTTCAAAATAAAAGTATATTTACCTTTTTCTTGATTGTAAAAGAATTTTGTATTTGTTGTAAAATACTCCAACAGAACAGAAATGTATGAACCGAAATCAACTCTTTTTATGCACCCTGCCTCAACCCCTCCCACCTTTCAGAGAGAACCACAATTAATACTTTGTAGTAATATGTTCCAGATTTTTCAGTGTTAGCTTCCAACTTAGTGGTTTGATTTACTTTCAGGAGACAACTAAATAAAAACTGCCTGCTAGCAACACTGATTTCCAAATCTAACCAAATTTGTAAATATTTTAAACTAAGGGGCTTTATAAATGCATATAATTTAAATTATGCAGATTAAAACAGCTTGTCTCAAAGTGAGTTCCTAAGGACAGGACACAGAACTGATCTTTGTTTCAGAATTAAGTATTTCTTTGATACTGAAATAATGAAATGTCAGTCTCAGCTTCTGGCTGTGGGTTTTTACGATCACTGACCAGTACATACAATGCAGTTTAAAATTTTTTTTACTTATTTGATGAAATACATACAGACTTCTACTTAACACATTTTTGGGGTTCTTAATTTATAGGAAAATGAGGTACTGAGAGAGAGGTATGAAGCTATGGATCACAGTTCCCAGTATGAGGGAAATGAGCAAAGGTTGTCAGCCCAGAAGGAAAAATCCCTACAGCAGGAGAATGAAGATGAAAATAAAATAGCAGATAAACGTGATGGGGAGGCAGAAAAGACTTCTGAATCTAGAAATGAGGTAAGCATGTTATATGTTAGAATATCCCCACCATACCATTTTGCCTTTAAGGTAGGTTTTATGGCTTTGGAAATTTGTGTTGAGAATGAATTTTGCATATAAGTGCCCCCCCACCCCAAGAAAATCTCATATATGAAAATACATGTGGGAGTGATTGGTTTACAAAGGAATCAGTCCATAGAATTACTTATCTCAGTTAAACTCAAGATTGTGTATGTGTATACGTGTGTACATAATACACACCCCTCCAGGAAATTGCTTGCTGGTTTTCTTAGTTGTGCTTGACATGGCAAGAGATAAGGAGATGGCTGGGATCCTGAACTGAAGAATCCTCAACCAGACATCTGAAGAGGCAGCCAGGCTGGGTAGGTCTGAGCAAGTGAGCCGGAGGTTGCTGGAGGCAAATCAGCCTCAAAACCAACCAGGGCTTGGACTGGAATCCTCACTAGTCTCCCGATAGGTCATGCTGAATGGGCATCCAGGAGCCCATTTTGTACCTTTAGCCAGGGCCATTGAGACACCCTCCTTGGTTCCTCTGTATCTAACCATGCTCTTCAGAGATGAGAAGAGGTACAGAAAGATGAACTCCAGGGGCCTGGTGGAGAGGGATGGATTCTTCTGTAGTTTGTGCTTCCCATCTTCTCACTTGGGCCATACTTTGGTTTTGACTCATCCCTGCTAGGCCCCACCCACAAACCTGGTAAACAAATGCTCCAAAGACTGGCCTGGAGGGTCCATGCCTGGAGGGTCCACAGACCTTTCCACATTTAGCACTTCTACCTGGAAGAACACCCTTGCAGGTCTTGCGCTGGTGGTTCTCAGCCATGACTTGCCCCAGGTGGAGTTTGGGCCTCAAAGCATGGGCCCTTCTCAGACAGCTGGTCGTCATCACTATAGCCTTGCCCATGTGATATTACATCAAATGTTACATGATTGATGGGAGTGAAACAAAAAAACAGCTTTTCTGTCTTTGCCCACCCACCATTCCTGAACATGTCACCTCACCTAGCCTATTATTCTTCCCTACACCTTGGGTGAAATCTAGGGCAGGCCCCATGACTTTCTGATAATCAGATTAAAATCTGCCTGTTCATCTCAGTGCAGCAACTCATCGATATAAGCCAGTGTAATTCTCAGACTCTGAACTGAAATTCAGCTTCTTCCCTCCTCTTGTCTCATCTGCTGCAGCCTCAAAGCCTGGTTGAAGTGGAAAAGGGTGTAAGTGGCCTATTCCTCTATTGCCCCAATTCCTCTTCCCTTACCCGTTAGGCTGTCTTCCTGGAAGTGAGGATGTAACGGGGTGGTAAGGCTCAGGAAAGGTGTTACCTACTGGCGCCAATCTGACACTAGTTTCCCTGGACTATGGGTGTATTAACAGCTTCCTTGTTGGATGGTACAGCCCTTTGATTTCAGTAGTTCTTCAGACACTCCCGCCCCACAGCTGGGAGTACTGCACCCACCCTTCTGTAAAGGACAAACGCACCCCCACCTCGCCTCTAGGAGTCCTCCCTGCATTTTCAGTGGCATACACCTCACCTCTCCACGTAGCACTCAAGCATGAGCTGGCTCTCAGGAGCTGTTCCTGGAAACCTGCACCTCATCGCCTTCAACAGACCAATCAGCTCCCAAACTAATTGCAGCCCTTACTCAGCCTCTTGACCTCTGTTTCTCAAGATGGAACATGCATCCACTGTTTTCCCCGAACTGCAGGAAATGCACACATTTCTAAGTGGTGTCCTTGAGTCCCTTTTTTGCTAGTTGTCAGGTGAGTGGGGTGGGGAGCTCACCCCAAAGGACCCATCTATTTTAACTTCCTAACCTCTCAGGCTTCAGCCTTTTTTAAAGCCTTCAGTTATGTGAGGGCCCCCTTACAGCATCACATTTCACCCTGAAATGGGAAAGTGTTTACACCAGCCTGTGCTTTTACCCACTGGTATTCTCCCTAGGCCTTGTATTTCCCAGTGATTCATGCACCCTTGAGTGGCCTTAACCTCCTCACCCCCCCGCTCGTTCCACCATCACACACATCATATTGTCACATCAATGCCAGTGGACTTGTATATTAACAAAATATTGAAAGAACCATATGTATTTTGCAGGAGACATTACAGCCCACTTTCCCAAGTGCCTTACGGGCATCTCTTTTGGGGGACATGCTTTTAACCAGTCTGCTGCTTCACTGTAGGTAGATTTCTGCTATTGATTCATTTTTATCCTAGGTATGTCATTGCCTTTACTACCTCACTGGGCTTCCCAGAGAAGTGGGAACTGTGTTTTCTACTTTGAATTACCTATAGTCTTACTGTTGCTATATACATATTCGCTCCTTACATACCAGTGAGGAGATAGATGAAGTATGGAGAGCTTCCTTGGAGAATTTAAAATACAATTTGATGTTTGAACTGTAACAAAATTTTCCTGAAACAAATTAATCAGTCAAAGCAGGGCATTTGTGCCTTATTTCTTAAATCAGTCTTGGCTCCTCATTTCGTACTTCTGACCTGTATCAGTCTTGTTTAAGTCACGTTTACACCACATCTTTGTGTATGGCACATTACACATTTCTTACAGGAAGTTTCTGACAACATTTGTCTAGCTCTTCTACTGAAATGTTACTTGGTAGGTGCTCAGTTTGCTGAAGTAAAGAAAACAGAAAGGAGTTGTCTGTGACCACAGTGAATCACTAGCTTTTATTCCTGTTCTTTGGGGTGACAGAAATACTTAGGATGACTGACGTCATTTGCTCCTTAACAGTGACTTCTTTCTACCCGACTGCAGAGCTAGAATTATACTATCAGCTATAAATGAAGAATAAATACACAGTATAGGTAGGCTAACTGGTCTGAAAACATTTTCTTCTCACTAAAGACAAGTTGAGTTTTTAAATATTTCATCTTTTAAAAGATGTCTTATAAAGTTAAATGTTTGTCCACCATATTTGAATACTCCTAGTGATCTCTGTTCAAAATGCAGTGAATTCTTGACCCCAAGTAGAACTGAATTTTATGTGAAGGTTTAGGAAAGAGAATTCTAAGAGTCTGACTAAAGATTGATCATTTCTTGACAATCTGAGTTGAACCTAAAGTATGAAATGTATCTTAATGGATTAATTGTAACAATGGCTTGGCTATCCATTTCTGTGGAAGATCTGTACCCAGCTGAACAGGAAAGATTTAGCAATTAAATTTTGAAATGGATTAACCACATTCTGTGAAACCAAATGTCTCATAATTGTTCTGTAAAATTTCTTAAGTGTGGTAGACAAAGAACTCTGCTGCACAGTGACTTCAAACAGCATGCTGTCCACAGGTTAGGACAAGGCACCTGCTGCTAACATTTTGAAGAGGAGGGAGGGGGATTTTTTAAACAGAGGTGAGGACAGTTTTAAGGGAAACACCAAGCAACAGGGAGGTGCCTAGGGACTGGCAACAACGTGAAGCCATTGCCACCATCAGGGCAGAAAGGGAATGTGGGGAGGCACAGAGCTCAGGGAAAGCTGGAACTGAGAGACTCAGCAGAGCCATTCTCAAAAGCATTGTCTTGCTGCTTCTGTCTCCTGCCTGTCTCCCCTGCACCCAGAGGCTGGGTTGGTAGGGGTTAGCCCCCCAGCCTGCCATCTCCATGAACAGTGAAGAAGAGAGAAGAATAGGTCTAATGTTTAATGAAATGTAGTTTTGACTAGCCTGAACAATCAGTACATAATTCATTTTAAGCAGAATGATTGTCATAGCTTATTTCCATGTTCTAAATATGAAGGCTTTCTTTTCTGCAAACGTTGCGCACCATTTAGGATTACTTTCAGAAGAATCCAGATTTGTGTTTATGTTACTCATTCTCACATACTTTATGACCATTAGCAAATTTTGGTCAGTGGTTGGCTGGGATTAATGGATCATGTTTGGGGTCACTAATAGAACATTTCTGAAATTAGGAATCATTTTAATAATTCAGTTAGCAAAGAAGTTTGCTATTCACTAAGAATGCAGAATTTGCCAGTTAAAGAGCAAGAAATCTTATCCAGCAATTTACCTTAAATAGCCCTATAACATCCATAGAAGCACAGAATGCCTTACACTCATCCGTCGTATTATGGCCTTGAAAAATGGCATCATAGAACCTAGTTGTTATCAAAACAAATATTTATAAACCTATACCTCAGTCCAGTTGGGCTGAATCTTCAAAAAAGTAAACCCTAAAGTAAAGTTAGGGGTGGGAGGGATACACCACACAAATCAGGAACTTGGTTAACATGTAGGTATATCCCCCCCCCATGACACAGCAAAAACAGAAATCCTGGATAAAATATAATGGATAATTTTTAAATGCACATTGGGAGTCAAAGACAAGAAAGGAAACTCTATAGATATAACAAAGGTACTCAAATCTAGAATTGAAGATAATCAGGTACCAAAGCTGAAGCGCCCCAAGGAGGAACTGAATCCAGTATTCATGACAGAGACAGAGGTTGACTGGATGGGAAATGAGGTCTTGAGCCCATACCTAGGGTACCTGAGTTCTCTGCTTACAGCTCAGAATGTTTAAAGGCTCTTCTGTTAGGTGATAGGGGTCTAAGGACAATTCTAGCCATTGGCTTGGAGACAAGCAAGGAAGCTTGTCTATTTACCCTTTAGAAATAGAACCCCAAATGGGCCTCAAAGCCATATATATAGTCTGAATCCACACTGTCACTATCAAGCATCCTGAAACAAGAAAGCAAGGTCTAGAAAGTGATACAAAACTGGTCCTTGCAAAGAACACAAAACTACCTCATAGTTAGTTGCTAAACTTGGTTTGTGGGATCCCAACAAGATAAGCTCACCTTTAAGTATAAAAGAAAAATTGATAGTGATAGAATGAGAAAATCCAAATTATTTCTAATAGGAGTCACAGGAGAGGCCGTCAGTATTCAGAGTTTATGGCAAAATATTACCAAAATTAAAACAATTTTATGACTCAGAATAAATACAAATTAGGTTCTGATTTGATCATTTCACACATCAAAGTGCAATGGCAGGACAACAAAGGGAAAAAAAGTTAAAATTAACCTGAGGGAAAAAATGAGACTGATAGCAAGCATATCAATGGTAGTAAATGCCACAGGCAGTAGTACTGAGGGAAACATAAAACCCAATCATCTTACCAGGTAAACTGTCTGTTAGCATGAAGGCAGAATAATTGCACATTACAAAAACTTAAAAGAGTTTACTACTTGTAGATCTCTCTAGAAAGAACTATCAAACTAAACCCTGAAGTTCAGCAGGAAATGAAGCAGTATGAGTAAGTTGTTAATAAAACATTTTGGTAAATCGAAGTATGTATTTGTAAAAATCATGTCATTTTGTGACCAATCTGGAGTGTCACCTGTGGAGGGGCAAAATAAGGTGGAACTAAAATGACAGCCAAAAGATGGAAGATGGTTAGGGCAGGAGTTAAAGATTCTTGTTTAAGGAACGATTCTTGTTTAAAATACTGAGTACTTAAAGAGGAGTCAAATGGAAAAATTCCAAACTAGGGACAAAAAATTTAGTATGGACTTAATACCTGATTATCCTTTCAAGATAAAAGCCCCAAGACAACCAGTTCAGTTTTTTTTTACTTGAATGATGTGCAATTTTTTCTACAGAGATATCTAAATGGGACAGATGCATCTTTATCTCTGGATGGCTTATTTCAGCTACTTTCATCACAGCCTGAAAATTCACTGGAGGTAATTGGAACCTTGCTTTTTCCTTGTAGGAATATGTCTGCACTGACCTGTGTGTGACTGACTACAATACAACCCTTTTACTTGAATGACATAAAGTAATACTTATGTAAAATATCTGTTATCATTTAAGCACACACACACTAATCCTTTTTATAAGAAATAGTTCAACTTTGGAGGTTTAGCAGAATATATATATACTGTTCCTCCTTCCAAATAATCACAAGGTATAATCAAATTTATAAAGTTCCTATTGAATAAAAATGACTAAACATTTGACGAACTAAGGCATAGGTTCACTTTCCTGGTAGCGTTTGTGTCTTGACTTCATTATGCTGTCTGTTTATTTGCTTTCAAAAAGACATCCCATCCCTGCAGACCACTTCACTATAGCTGTTATCCATAACCTTCTGCAGTAAGGATTTAGATTGCGAACAGCTAGGATGAGAACTGCATCTTAAAAAGTACCAAATCAGTTATTAGACTGATTTAACAAGATCAGCTTTTATGTAACCTATTAATGAAGCTTTCTAAATTTGCATATTCAGAGAACAGATCTCCCCCCAAGTATAGCATATTCTGAGATGGGCTTCCATCACATACAATACTTTGTGTAATTCTTAACTAGGGGAAACGTAATCATAGCCAACAGCATATTCCTGTATGTGTAATTGACAAAGGTGAGGAAAGCGAAGTGTTATTAGAACTGCTATTGAAATAGGGTTGTGTATTGAAAGGTTTTTTTTCTTCCCTTTCCAGGGCATCTCACTGGGAGATATTCCTGCACTTCCAGGAAATTTCAGTGATGGCATTAATTCTTCACATTACAATGTAAACTTTAGCCAGGCCATAAGTCATGATGTCAATCTCCATGAGGCTATGTTGCTGTGTCCTGACAATACATTTAGAAGAGATCTAGTAGTGAGGACTTCACAGCCTCAAGAACCACATCTGCAGTTAAATTCTCATACTACTTATCCTGAACAGACCCTTCCTGGAACTAATTTGACAGGATTTCTTCCACTACTTAACCATCAGTTGAGGAATCTAACAAGCCAAGACTTATATGACCTTGATGTGAACATATTTGATGAGATAAATTTAATGTCTTTGGCCACAGGTTTTGATCCAACAGAAACCTCTCAGTTTTTTGAAGAACCAGATTCTGATTCTGGGCTTTCCTTAAATTCAAGCCACAATAGAACCTCTGTCACCAAATCTAATTCCTGTGTGTGTGAAGGTGCTGTAGGTTATAGTGATGACCGTGAATCTCTCCCCGACCATGACTTACAGGGGGCTGTTGGAGGTGACTACCCAGAGCCCAGTAAACTTTGCCACATGGATCATAAGAATAATTTTGGTTTTCACAGGGACCTAGCTTTTCAACATGTATTTCATAACCACACTTATCACTTACAGCCAAATGCACTAGAATCCACTTCTGAATGTTTTTCATGGCCTGGGAAGTCACAGAAAATGAACGGGTACCTGAATAACACAGAAACAAACTTAAGCCGTGATGAACGGCATGCCAAAGCTCTGTGTATACCTTTTTCTGTAGATGAAATTGTCCGCATGCCTGTTGATTCTTTCAACAGTGTACTAAGCAGATACTATTTGACAGATTTACAAGTGTCACTCATGCGTGATATTAGACGAAGGGGCAAAAACAAAGTTGCTGCTCAGAACTGTCGGAAGCGCAAACTGGATGTAATTTTAAATCTAGAAGAGGATGTATATAACTTGCAGGCAAAGAAGGAAACTCTTGAGAGTGAGCAAGCCTGGTGTAACAAAGCTATTAACATAATGAAACAGAAACTGCATGACCTTTATCATGATGTTTTTAGTAGGCTGAGAGACAATGAAGGTAGGCCAGTCAATCCGAACCAGTATGCTCTTCAGTGCAGTCATGACGGAAGCATTTTGATAGTACCCAAGGAACTGGTGACCTCAGACCACAAGAAGGAAAACCAAAGGAAAAAAAAAAATGAAAAAAACTGAAGATGGACTCCATTAATATGCATGAGGTACTGATGTTCAAAAATACATATGGATCACAAACCTTGTCACTGCTTCAGGGTTGTTGCTCAAGCGTGACACTTCTAAGTACTGCTATTTCACTCAAGGCTACATTCTGAAGCTTCTGTGGACAAGTGTGGGAAATTTGGGAGAAAGCCATTTTTAATGAAATCTTCCTGCTCCATTATATGCACAACTTAGAGTATATACAAAGAATAAGGTTTCACTTTGGTTGCTATTAAGATGGTCAGAACAGTCACTGGATGTTAATTATTTCAAACCATTTGTTTTAATGACTTGGAATGCAAAGTAGACTTTAATATTTTCATTTAGCTTACTGGCAGTGAAGTATAGTGAGCTTTTCGAAAGCTAGTTTTCTGTGAATAAATTTTATATTTGAACTTACAAAAAAATTACTATGGTAAATTTACCTTGGGTGTTTTCCCTTCAAATACCCACATTCAGGATTACAAGTATCTAGCAAATAGGGAGCATAGTGTTTTTAAAATTTGTACAAAATCATCAGTCAACCAATTAAACTGAAGAAGGGAAATCCCGTCTCGGACTCCACACACAGAACAGATGAGGTAAACTAAGTGCCCAAGCTCTAAACCCAGGTTACAAGAAACAAAAATCAAGCTTTAAAATAGTGCACTAGGCTTTAATGCCTGGCTACAAAGACCTGTAGTCAGTCAGAAGAGGGTGTTGGCCTACTTCTCTCCAGTAACTAGTAGAGCAGAGCTTAGCTCCTTTACAGGGAATATACCTCCCTGATAAAGCCAGCTTGTCTAGGTGGTCTCAGAATTTACATAGTTTAACATGAACACATCACAAAGCCATACCAGGAACACAAACAGTAGAGGAAAACTTGTATGAAATTCTACAACCAAAGAATTAGAAATACTGAAACCATGAAAATTATAAATGCTTAAAATGGGCAAAAAAATAATCACCTGGTTAAGACTTAAAATCTGAAATAAAAAGTTTAACAGCATAATCTCCTGAAGATAATGTCAGATCTTGATATTTCTGCCACAGAAGTCACTGGTCAAATATCTTAGGTTAGAGATGTTTATACATTGAATTTTTATGATAAACTCTTAAATTGGGCCTAGACATTCCTCTCAAGACCTAGATTTTGCCAGCAATGTTTCTAGATACCAATACCATTCTTCTGACCAGTATTTTCAATTCCTTTTTAATCTGTCCAACAGGCTGGTTTTTTGGCCTAGAAGTGCACTTTCGGTATATAAATCATAGATAGCTTCAGGCAGGGTTTATTACCATAGGAAATATTCCTAGCCTGCAACATCACAGCGAATTTCACAACTGAGTAGCCTTAAGAGTGCCTGTTGGACTTTGTTGGTATTTCCCCAAATCCCTCAAGACAACAGACCATCAAAATGGCAAGGAAAAGAAAAAAAAGCATAAGCAGAGTGCTGGAACTCATTAGAAACTTAAGCTTAAAAACCAAAAAAACGTAATGTTTTGTGTTGTGATGAAGTCTAAACAGCCAGTTTCAGTCTGCCACAGGCTGTATTTCCTGACTATGAGAGTACGTAAACTGAAGCTTACTTTCCCTGTCAGTATTCCAGTCTTGTTCAAATTCAGACTGAAGCTAAATGTTTTGTGCATAACCATGGAACCAAGCTTTCACTTATCTGACCCATTCTCTAAATAGGTGAATTATGAGAGTTCAGCTACTCTAAGATCTGGAAAAGCAGGTGACTTAACTGGGAACAATTCCAACAAATTTTAAGTGACCTTGCTGTGCTCCCCCCCACCCCCAATGTTTTCACAAGTACTTGGTATACAGCTTAAACACAAGGGGACAATATATATCTAGTCATGAAAAGCCCTTTCTTTAGTATGTCTGGCAGGCACTTTTCCTTCTGCAATTTGCAGCGACTGGCTACAGTCCAATTTGAATTGGTCCCAACACAAAACTAGTCCCACCTTCCTTGCCTTACAGAGGTGTCTCTGAAATGATTCTGCCAGTGCCAAAATTGTGCCAGCTCAGCAATCCGTCATTTTCCCATTAAAAGCCTTCACATTTTCTTGGTCATGTTGAACACACTCATGGATAGAATTACATTCTTGGCCAATTGTATCCCTAGCAATGTGCACTTTATCAAAATTGTGTATTTGGGTCTCCTCTCATGGCTTATTAGTCTGCACTGACCTTTAAAAATAGCTGATGTCTTTCCCTCTCCTGTCACCTTAACGAACTCTATTTGCTTTTCTTGGGGCATCCACTCACTGGTTTTTGAGTCACCAAAAAACCAAGTCCAGTTCCAGCTAATGAGCATTAGCTGCAGTACTAAATGGCACAACAAATTATATGGGTATTCATCTGGACACATTCGTTGCAAACCTTTCAGATCACTTAGTAAATAAAATAAGCCAGGAATGTACACGTACTCGACATGCTGTTCCACTTGCTGCAAAGGCACACCCACTTTCAAATATGCAACTAAGGAAATGGGACATTCTATTAAATCATCCCTATATTAGCTGAGTGTTTCCATCAGTAGCACACACAGCAGTGTTAACTTTTAGAGCAAATTAATTTGTATTCAATGTCCCAAATTAGACTGAAAACCTTACATGCAAGAGAACACGATGCTTCAGTGACTTTCACAGGGCACTGCAGTGTGGGAGCCACACCCAACATTGCTCCCAATGAGGCCTGTTGCTTGCTGAGTAAACCATACTATGTGACCATTAGAATACAAGGACAGTATTTCCAAACCCTGGTCATTTTGAGAACCTTCTGTTCTTGCATAGTTCACAGTGGAGGAAGGAATGAGCCAGTACATTTTGGATGCAGATTTTCAAGAACAAGTCGAGTTCCCCCTGAAACCTTGAACCAGAAATTGCACAAGCGCTTCCAGATTCTCACAAATACTGTGTGAGGTAGCAAGTGTATCACTCTCAACTCCTATTACAAAGTGGGAAGAGTTTTTCTTTAGAATCATCTTGGGTTGCACAAAAACCTTGTCTTATTTTGTTAGAAAATCACAGCCCGATACAGTATACACACATAGGGGAAAACGCTATACTGAATGTTCATTATCTGTGTTTCCAGTTCATTTCCACCTATTACATATTGATGAAATATTTTTCCTATTTTGTACTGGATAAGGATTTGGGTATTTTAAAGGTTATTATACCACCATCATCATCTTCAAAAGCTCAACTTCTTTGTAGAGCTAGACATTTAAAAGACCCTTATAATTACTTTCCCTACAAATTTGAAACCAAGTATTCTGACAAGTTTATAGTTGATGATGCAGCGATGTTAAGCAAGCCAGTTCACCTGTTAGCCACCACTAGGTTTGACTTACCTGTGAGATACCTCAACACCAAAAAAAGAAATTGCAGTTAGAACAAGTCAACCATACTGTTTGTTTTCTAGTTCATTTCAGGTAAATGTCCAAAGTACTTGTTAAATTTTATCCACCATATTAAGCCCATAGAAGACAACCACTGATAGTAAGTATAAAATGCTAATTAAACATTTAAGAAATTACTATGACAGACTATCTCCATGCTTTGCATGCCACTAATTCAGACCACTCTAGCTGGTTAATACGTGATTTTTAAACATCACCAGCAATTTTAAACATACAAGGTAAAGCCAGAAAACTATAGCAGTATTCAAACACTGAATATAGTGTGAAGAATGCCATTTTATTAGGGACAGCCAATAATGTCCACAACTTTTTTCTCATTTGTCTATCAATATTGAAAAATGGCAATATGCATAGTTTGTAAAACTGCTTAAAAAATCTAGGGAATGGCAACCCTTTAGACAACTGAATGTTTATAAAACAAGATTCACACATCTTATGTGTAAACATTACACCAAGTATTTGGATACAAAAGTATTTATTTTATAAACTTTGTATTTAAAATAGAATTTTAATCTGTCTACTCACAAAACCTAACTTAAAACATGATACATTTCTAGCTGATTTGATGTTAACTCTTTTACAAACAATACTCAATGTAATTGTTTTATATTAAGAACCTGTACTAAATGAAGTTTGTTATTGTATCAGAAAACATTTCCCTTTGATCTTAAGAGTGCTTTTTTAAATGAAGGCACCAACAAGAACTACTTTCAGATGGTACAGAATTTCTTATTCTTGAAGACTCTGTGGTTGACCACTTCTTCATTAGTTACCTGCAGCAAGACACCTTCCTGCCAAAGGAAAAAAAAAGTATCTGAAGAAGTTTATCATGTTTTTTCCAAAGAACCTAAATAACTTCAGTGGTTGTCTTAGAATCAAAGAAGACTCACTGGTGCATACAGCAGAATATGCCCTGATTACCACATTCCTGAAGGCAATAAAGCCAGGCAATCAAACTCTGATGTCAATTAAGAAATGATTATCAGCAGCCAACCTACATCTTTCCTATAAAGGTACGGGATTGGGAAAGAATTACATTTAAACCCAAGTACTGGATACATACAGGTTACAATGTTTTGACACTTTATTTGTAAGTATAAGCTATTATTCTGAAAATAAATCCAACCATTTTGCCCTACCTTCTCCTTAGCCTGATGCATGTATAACTACAACCATATTAAGTAACAGAAGAACAAAATGTCTTTATTTTTAATAAAAGCCACTAGTTCACTCAAAAGGCTTGATCCAAGAAACGTGAATACACAAGGGTGTAAGGATGGGAATTTTCATGATTTATTGAATTTGCAGCCTAGCTTTTACCTACCATTTTACTACCAACACCACTGAAGGAACCAAGAAAAGCTTTATTAATGATCACTTGGCTTGCCTCAGCTGTTGAAATGAAGCACTTTAGTCTTTGTGGCAGCAGAATATACTTGTCCACGGTTCATATCAATGCTAAAATTCCAGCAGGGAAAAAAATGATATGTTAAGCACCTGAATCTTCATAGAGGGGGAGGGGGGTGGGAAAGAAGGAAAAAAGGGAAAAACCAAAATAATTTAAGTAAATGACAGATTGGTTCATTAAGATTATTTCTCTTGAGTTTATAAATTGTTAAACTCAATTTATAGCTATGTTAAACTACGTAAGAACCACTATACTGAAAGACCATTGAAGAGTATTAGTTTATCTTTTGGGGAGGAAAATTAAGAAAGGAAAAATAAATAAGATCTTACCTAAAGAAGTTTAACTGAAGCTTAGAACTATTTTGCTCTACACCCTCAGCTTTCGTTGGCATCCTTAACTACTGTAGTTAAAGCTTTGTTGAAACAGCACAGTTTTTTAAGACTGGCTGAACTTAGTAGCCGTCAAGAGTTCTCTTGTCCTAGACCTGTATCCCTGAAGAGTACCTCGCTGGGATTATTTCCTTTCCTTGCATTGAAGAAGCAGCATCTAAAAGATCTAAAAAGGTGTTTCTCCTTGCAGAGATATCCCTTAAGTTATCTAGGTAATTTAATCCTGATGAATTGCAGACAACACACTTAGTTTTAGCTGACCAACATTTCTTACACAAATGTAACAACAGCTTTACAATGGACCTTAATTATACTACCCACTCCTTAACTTATTTAAAATAAAAAGTCTATAATTACACAATTTCCTTTAGAATTATTTTATTAAATCATAAATGTACAACAGCTTCTTAACTCTACACACGCACTTAAATTTTTTAAAGGAAAAACGTTATGTCTTATTACACCATGATCCTGGCTAATAGCTTTTCAAAACTTTGAGAAAAATCTTAAAAAAGGTATCACATGTCACCTGAAACTTACAAATTTAACATTATCAAAGAAGGAATGCTTCTACACTCTTACAAAGACCACTAGAAAGAAACAACAATTAAAAAGCTAAGAAACTGTCTCAAAGGCATTTTTTTTTTTACAGTCCTTCCTCCACAGTAAGGTAATGTTATTAAATAATCCAATCCATTCACAAAATGGCTCTCTGCATCTGCTCTGGTGTCTTCTGCCATATCACTGCATATTTATGCATGACTGAGATAAGAGTTTCCTTAACATTGTTATTTCGATAACCTGAAGCTGTTCTGTTACCTCTGGGCTCTCATCCTCTCCTATTTATACAGTGAAGCCTGTTTCAACAGAAGTAAAGAGTAAAAAAAAAATAGGTTATGAAATTATCCATCTAACCAGATTTTAAGGAAAGATAACATGATCCTAAAAAGCTTTTACTCCTGCCAGCTAGGTCTCCCAAGACAGTAGTAATGTAAAACTCAAAATCTACTTACCCATGGCAAATTGGAAGAAGCTCAGTATCGGCTTCTCCCTCCATAACCCCCACTTCCTCCACTTCCTCCAGGACCATAGTTTCCTAGAATTGTAAGAACAGCAAGAGAGAGAGAATACACTTACTTCAATTTCCCAAAATTAGCATAATAGTTAGTCATACACTCTAAAACACAGCAGATCACAACCCCATGTTTCTAATTAACATTACTGGGAACTGAACTATCCAGATTCTTACATATGATTTTGTCCTTTAAACTTGAACACTAGTTTTATGACACAACTCTTTTAGGGAACTCTCTACAATGATCATTTGGGTTAGTTAAGTAATCAAGAAAAAATTTGTACAGAAAGCAGAGAAAAACAAATCTGGTCTCTGCTAACTAAAGACTTCTCAAGAATGACTTGATGATGTGAATGAAGGTGGTTCAGGATTATTTACTAAATTAACTTTCAAGAAGATAACTCACACTAATTTCTATCACTTGGTATATGCCCAGCAAATCTGACTTTCTCGTAAGAATTTGCCAAGAAAAAAAAAACCCAGCCCCAACTCCTAACTAAATGCTTCATCCCAGTTAACATGTCACTTCTACCACACTGATCCCTCAGGCTTATGTTACCTGTTTGCGTAAGTCATTTCTGTAAAATTATTTCACCAAGTGTTATAATAAAGTCTTTCCCAAACAATTTGCATGTTATCTTCCCTTCTTTAATCATTCATACAACAGTCTGAAGAATAAATTACCTCCACCATATGGTCCCCCCATGTTCCTGCTACCACCAAAGTTTCCACTCTTCATTGGACCATAGTTAGATGGTTGCTGGTTATAATTTCCAAAATCATTGTAATTTCCACTTCCATAATTTCCTGTAAGAAAAATTGTACTACTAGTTTTGCATACCGAACCTCAAAAAGATACAATGAAACATTTTATCAGGAATACATGCTAAGTATTTAGTACACATCTCCCACAAAAACAAATCAGAATAAATTCAAAACCCTATCTACAGTGCTGTAATTTTTAAAGGCAACTACTGACAACATTGAAATGAAAAATGTTATGTTAAAGTCATTAATTCCAATCCAAATTCCCACATAAAGGTTGCAGGTGAATTTATTACCTCCTCCATAGTTGTCATAACCACCTCCGTAGCCCCCACCCTGGTTGCCATATCCAGGTCCTCCACCACCATATCCTCCTCTTCCTCCTCCATAACCAGGGCTACCTCCAAAATTGCCACCTATTATAAAATAAGCCTTTAAGTAATTACTTAGTATTTTCAATGCCATTTGAACTGTCTTATCACACCCATCTCCAGCTTTCCAAAACACATTTTTACTGAGTAAAATATTTGTTCTAGGAAATCATTTACAGCCTCAAGGGCAGAATATATGCTTGGTATACATTTGGGGGTGGAGAATGCCCACCCACTAGTAAAACCTTTATGGAGACAATACCTGGAATGCCACAGCTCTCTCCTAAAACTAAAGCTACTGAGTTCTCTTAAGGTATTTTGAAGTACTATTTATGTGGGGTCAGAGGTGAAGACTATTGCAAAAAAAGAGCTAAATCCCCCTACTTGGTCCAGAAGACTTATGCCCCAACTCATGTTTCCCTATAAATTATCACCAGGTCTTTTTAGTATGACCACTCCCTTCTCCTGAGCAGAAATGGGGATGACCAGAACTAAGCCAACTTGTACGAACTCTAGGTTTTAAATAGGTAGTCTTAAATTACTTCTGAGTACAAAAATTCATCTTTTTCAAAAAACCAAGTATTTAGATTTCAAAGCAAAGGTGGAGGCAATGAGATGTAGGAATAACTTGGTTATACCTATCAGGAGCAAAACCAGAAATCAGGTGTATTACTAGCTCAATTTTAAATGTCTCTTTCTTACTAGGACATTAGTTAGCAAGTATCAGTTTTTCTGTATTACAGCAAAGCATTTTGTCTACTATTATTAGATATAAAACAGTAGCGTCAACCTTAGCAGAACCCAGGAGCACACGTGTAGGTTTTGTAAAAGTTCCTCTGGCGCCTATTTAGAAGTTATCCTGGGGAACTCTATTTAAAAGTTATCTTGGCAAGGGCTGAAAGTTAAGACCACACAATTCCTTACACATACTCCCCCCTCACATGTTGATATTGGTTATATCCAGTGTTCTGTACTTTTTAGGGTAACAGTATGTAAGTATCACATGTCCAGTTATTTTGCTTGAGAAATGAGATGGGATACAGCATGATGGCATATTTAAATTCTCATTTGAAATCCACCCAAATCATCTTGCATCCTATACTAACAACTACAAGTGTGCTATTTTCCTTTAAGCTATACAACAGTTAAGATGCAAAGGAAATAAGAAAAGCCAAATGACTCAACCACTATCACATAAGCCCTGTAGAAAAGGTAAAACATTAAGAAAAATTTCATTTATACACTCAACTGGACAAACATGCAGTGTGATTAAAATTTTAAGTCACATAAACCAAAATGTAGAAGAAACTGACCTCCAGGTCCTCCTCCATACCCATTATAGCCATCCCCAAATCCACGACCACTCCCATATCCATCTGTTAGAGAGAGAAAAAAGTATCACACTCTGTTCACCCTATTTTTTAATTCCTTATCCTCCTTTACTTCCATATTATCTATTAGTATCTCTAGATAAGAATTACTATTGGGAACCACTCTTATGCTGTAACACTGGCATTACTAGTTTATTCTTAAAAATAAACAATGCTATAAAGTTAACTACCTAACTTGGGGTTTATGCTTTGGCAAGTCTCAATTTAAGATTATACTTATTTACACACAGGAGTAACACTCGATGGGGCACAGGTTTTGGTGTTGGTACCTCTGTATACTATTAATTCTGACCATACACCGGTAACCTAAAGCAAAAGACTTAACACAGATCACAACCCATTTAAAAAACCTACAGGCAAGGCCTCTATAGTATTTTCACTCAGTATTCAGGAATATGTTGTAATTTCTAAGGTGGTTGTAATGTCATTTTATTGAAAACTGACAACTATAAAAAAATATCTGTAAAACTGACCTTATAGTAAGCACTACTTCTTGCCCCACCCAATCAGAATATTCCGCCAGAATAAAACCTCCTTAAAGACTGAGTAACTTAAAATCAGACTGGATTTCTTCACTCTAATAAAAACTAAATCCATTTGTAATAAAGCACATTTACTCTATCATTTAAGAGCCTGAACTTACCAGATCCTCCTCTAAAGTTACTTCCAGGTCCTGGTCCAAAATTTCCTCCACCACCACGAGAATCTCCAAAACCAAAGTTGCCTACAATATAGACCACCCTAGTTGGTAACAAGTACTTATAGAAATATATCTTAAACAAAAGACAAAATAAGTTAACATTACCTCCTCTTCCACTTCTAGAACTTTGGACTTCCTGCATTTCTTGTCTAGACAAAGCCTTCCTTACTTCTGCATTATGACCATTGATGGTATGGTATTTCTGCACTGAAATCAAAAAAGTTCAGATGCCCATTAAATCAGCTTTCTATGGTAGTAAGCAACTTATAAAGTTTGCCTTTTTAAGTAAGTTGTTAGGTGTTAACAAACCCAAAATGTGGTATTACTTTAGAGCCATACAGCCCAGGGTTTATACAGACACTTACACACAATCTTATCCACAGGATCATGGTCATCAAAAGTAACAAATCCAAAGCCTCTTTTCTTTCCTGACTGCCTATCAGTGATTATTTCAATCGTATCAATTTTTCCGTATTCCTCGAAGTAATCTCTAAGATGATGCTCTTCAGTATCTTCTTTAATTCCACCAACAAATAGCTTCTTCACAGTCACATGAGCCCCAGGTTTTCCAGACTCCTACAATAGTGGGAGAAGAGTCATCTTGACGTTAGAAACCACAAACATGATTAAAAGCACTTTATCTGGGTACCATAGGTGGCTTCTATCTTATAATAAAATACCAGATAAAGCAACAGATCATAACCTAGTCTGGAAAAATAAGCAAGTCTAGGAAAAATCAAAGTAATGAAATCCAACAGCTTTAATGAGAGAAAAAACTTTCAGCTAGATATAAAGACCTTTTCAATTCTTGAAAAGCTACACAGTCTAATCTTCGCTGGGACAGAACTTGATTACTTATATAGAAAAAAGTTGTATTTTTGCTCACCTCTCTTGCAACAGCACGTTTTGGCTCAACCACTCTCCCATCAATTGAATGAGGTCTTGCAGCCATGGCAGCATCAACCTCAGCCATGGATGAAAAAGTTACAAAACCAAATCCTCTCGATCTTTTGCTTGCAGGATCTCTCATTACCTTTAAAACCAATGGGGCAACTTTAGCATTTTGATCCTGTTACGTAGGTTATGAACTAGCAATATGAACTGGTAGCATTTTTTAATGACCATGAATTTAAACTTTTCTCTGATTCACTGAACATTTTAAACACGAAAGCCCAACAGCTGAAGGACTAGTATCTGTACAAACTTTTGTCTTTAACGTACCACACAGTCTGTAAGTTTTCCCCATTGCTCGTAATAGTTCCTCAAACTTTCTTCTGTGGTTTCAAAGCTCAAGCCACCAATGAAGAGTTTACGGAACTGTTCCTTTTCTCTCTGTAAAGGAAAACACCATTTCAATTTTTATTTACATTTTCTCTTTATATGCAGGAAATTAAATTCTTAAATATGAGGTGACCTGCTGGCAGAGTACCTTTTTCCTCTCCAAAGGAACAGTTTCTAAAGTGTTCTGGGGGGGGAAAAAAAAAACTTACATCAAATTTAAACCATATGTTAAACTGCATATTAGTTGTGTTACACCAAAAATATAGCCTCAGCTGAACTACACGTTTCAAGGTCATTGATTGATCTAAATTTACTTGACATTAACCTATTTCAAACAAATGTAATACCACTTATAATCTGAAAAAGATTATCCGAAGAGAAAGGAGCAAACCTATTTCCTGGTCATTGAAAGGTCAACAGTCTTAGCAAAATTTGTGTTCAACCCTACATCCTATGACAGAGAACTCTTAGTTTAAATTTAAAACAATGTTCTTTATTTAAAAACCCATGGTTTACGACTTATTTCAGATTCAGTATTGAAAAAGTGAGTTATTGTCCCTTCATTGCTCCCTCTGGTGGGGATTCCAATGGGGATTCCAATGTATCTCAATGAAAAAAAAATTAAGAAAAACCATTCCCTACACACCAGTTTCCAAAAGGAGGTGGAATTTAAGCTTTCATTACATGTCATTAATCTTTAGAATTTCTCTCTTCTGACCAAGGCAGAGTGATTTTAGTGACTTAACGGTGTTCAAAGCTCGAAAAGTTAACATTTTTTGTGTGTACCTGTATATCTGCTATTTAGGTAATAAAATCTCATTTATAAAATACAGCAAAATAGATTCACAGTAACAACTTCTTTTTCAAAAACTACCAATGTGTTTAAGTGCCCACTGCGACTATCCAGTAGTTAATTACAATACCACACTACCATTTGTTTGTACTTCACCACTAAAAAACATTCAAGTGTACTGAACTTTGTGACCATCTGGTAAACTACACAACCCATGGAAGCGTCTCTAATTACACAAACGAAAAGGAAAAAAAAAACCTGGCCTGAAATCTTTTAATCCCTATAAACCAGCAAAGAAATCTTGTCCTGTATTTTGGGCAGTCAGTTAAGGATGGTTTTCAGGTAACCAGGTTAAAAAAGATAAATATTAAAAAACTAGAATAGAGCAGAGTATCAAGCACCAATTGCTATTCATGAGTACAACTGAAAGGTAAAATATATTTTTCAACACAGAATTATTTTATTCCCAGGAAATAACACAGTTGTACAGAGGTGTCTTCCTCCATGCGTAATATTCTCCCAACTCATTAAGCACAGTAACAAGCAAATTGTTTTTCTTGCATAGTTAAAACTGTTTTCAGGATGCCCCAGACATTTAAAAGTAACAGTATTTTAAAAGGGCTTTTTGGCATGTTGACATTTGAATTCTTGAGCTAATTTATTCTAAATTTTAAGTTTTAAAGCCCAAATAAATTACGGAGGTTAAAAAAAAGCATATGAATTTTTACAAGTCACTAACAAAATGCAAAAACTCATTACTTACCTCAGTTTTTTCCAAACTTACCCGATGTCCACTAACGATTAAACAAAGTTATTTTATATGCCAGCTTAAGGTCAAAGAAAATAAAAATACCCAGGTAGACCCCCTTTGCTTGAGACCTTATGTTTACCAGTGTAATCATCAACCATGATAGCAAACATAAATTAGAAAAGGAAGTGATTAAGTTCAAATACATACCGGCCCAACCCAGAACATTTTGTATATAGCAATACACTCACTGAAAGACTGAAGCATGTTTTAACCCAAATCCAAGAAAGTAGGGTCATTTTTGTCTTTACTATTTCTAGCTTATTCATTAAAGTCTGAGGGCCTGGATTCAGTTAAGGCTAAACTTCCCAGTGAACTATTTAAAGTGTGAGTTAATTCTACGACTCAAAGGGAATCCTTCAGGAAAATTAAGGATTCTGAAACGAACCCCCGGGACCCCCTTAACTCCTAGTGCCCACTAATCCGATGGCTCCAAATTGTTATTTCTACACTTTCCTGCGATCCAACTGCCTTTTGAATCACCGCAGACTCAGATAAAACCGTTACTCAAACAAGGAACAGAAAAGGGTCTTTTTTTTGGTACCGTGGCTCGCTTAAAAACCGGGCACAATACCGTAGGCCGTTTTCCCTCCTCTTAAATCGTGCAAACCGGCCCTGAAGAACCCTCCCCCCGCCCGCTCTTCGTTGTGGCTTCTGAACGCAATGGCGCCATTTCATCGAGAAGCGAAAAGAGCCTCTCAAAAGGTGCGCAGGACTTTAAAAGATCCAAGCTCACAAAACACTCGGAATCCACCTCGAAAGGGCATGAAAACAGCCCGAGAAGAAAGATAATAGTTAACCACTTCTATTCTTTGATAAAGGAGTCCAAACTAGCAGAATTCAGATGTTGAAAAGAAAAACGCTGCGAGGAAGGAAAGAAACGAAAATGGCGGCCGCCAAATCCGGTTCCCGGGAGAGGGGGAGGGGATGCTCCGCAGCATGCCTCACCGGGACCAAAAGCCCGCGGAAACGCTCAAACGCAGGGACGCCGGGGCCCCCAAATCAGCGTGCTCTAGGAAGGGAGTAGGATTCCCGCCTCCGCGCCCGTTTCACTAAAGCGGGGCTGCGCTCGCCATGTGGATGTTCCCCATCCCCCACCCCCAGCAAAAGGAAATGGCGCCGGGAGGCTGTGGGTGGGGAAGGTGCCGTGCTATCAAACCTCCGTTAACGACCCCTCTCAGAAAATATGCTGAGACCATCCGCTTCCGAGGTGGCCCAATTTCACAGCCACTTCCCGTGGAAGCGGTGGCCGACTTCCAGAGGCGCCAACGGCCTCGCTATGCCCTTTCCAATAACTCATTGATTTCAAACCCGTTACCTCCATCGCGGACTCAGTCGCTTCAGCCCGATTTCCCGCAGCCGAGCGAGATGAGAGAGATCTCCGCGGACGAACACGAACCGGACTCGTCCTGGCGCTGTAGTGAGAACTGCAGCTGCTCGAGAAACACCACCACGAAGAGCACTTCCACAGGAGAGCCGACGCTGCTGCTACTGCCGCTAGCGCCGCCGCTGCCGCCGCTTTTCTAGAACCTTCCCCCTGACTAACGCGTCTTCCCCTACGTCAGCCGTTGCGTAAACGCCCTAACCGCCGCTACTGGCGGGAACGCTCTACGCCCTCCTTACGCTAAGTGCGTACTCCTCCTCCTTGCAGCCACTGGTGGTTCTTGACGTCACTTACGTAAGTGGGATCAGTGAATTGCGGAAGGCTCGCGAGCAGCGTGGTTTTCTCTCAGTTGGATCCAGCCCCCGCCTCTGCGCAGGGGAGGTGAGAAACGGTCGCGCAGTTTGAAATTAACGCTGTCGGGAGGAGCTTACTCCACAACCCAGAGGGCCGGCCCCCTCAACCTGGAGGTGGTCCCTGCAGCAACGCCTTTGATAATCCCAGCACCCTCAGTTGTCCCGCCAAAAAAATCTGTGGCCTCCCAACTACGTTTTCTCTCCTCCCGCCCCTCACCCCCTAAGCACAGGACTGACTCGGCCCCTTCCGGAAACACCCGAAATGAGTTCTAGTCAACAGTTACACCGTACCGCCCACCCACCTCACCCAGGTCAATATCCTTGGGTTCGAACCCTTGGGTTCACGAGTCTTTGGAGAGGGTGGTCCGAAAGAGGCCCTCGTTCTTAGTTCCCCTGACCCATGTCTTCTTCACTCCCCCACCCATACGCCGCCCGGCCAACTCCAGCGTTTGGAGGCACCCAACCCCCAGGGCCAAGGAAGTGGGCGGAGTCCGGCTTGGGTGCCAGCCGCTGCCGTTGCAGAGCAAAAACACCTCAGCCAGGGAGGCTCTGATCAGTCTCCTCGCCCCTCCTTCACCCTCCCTTCCCTCCGGGGACCACCAGGCGCCACGCCGCGAGCGGTAAGTGCCGCTGTCACCACCACCCTCCACCCTCCACCCTCCCCTCTGCCCCGCCGCCTCCCTCAGGCTCTCGGTGAGGGCTCCTCCCCCGCCGGACGCGCGCGGCCGCCCCGCCCCTCGCGGCCGCCCGGCGTGGGCGGTGCCACCTCCCCTCTTCCTCGGCGGCGGCCTGGCGCGCAGCTCCCCAGCCTCCTCCCCCTCGGATGTGGCTCGAGGTTGAGGCGCGCCGGGTTAGGAGACGCCGCAGAACAGGGACCCGGAGCAGCTCGGAGGCGGTGAAGTCGGTGTCTTTCTTTCTCTCTAGCCTTCACTCGGTGGTGGTGCTTACGATACCACATGCACCCCAGGGACCCTCCCCCGCCCCCCCCAGTTCCCGCTTCCTGTCCTTCCCTTCCCGACCCCGAGTGGGGAAGCTGGCCGGAAGGAGCAGACAGGCGTGCAGCGACCCCCCGGCGGGCCTGGCGCTCGGTCGGCCCCTCTGTTTAGTTGGGGTGGACAAGACTGTCCTCGAGAGTGTGGAGAGCTGTGGCGGCAGCCTTATTTTTAGACAAAGCGCATTTCCTTCCCCCCTCCCCCACTCCCGATCTAGATTAGGGGCCCTCCTCCCCCTCCCGGGCTCGGTCGGCGACTCGGGCCTCCCGCGAGGGCGGTGCATTCTCCCGCATCCGAGCGGCGCGCGCGGCTTGCAGCCCCGAGGCGGCGGCGGACGCTCCGTTACGTGGACACCTTCGGGTGGGGGTGCCGTGCGGGCCCCGGGGTGCAGTGCCCTTGAGCCCCCGCGCCGCGGCCTTTGTTTCTCCCTGCGGATCCGCTGACCACGAGGCCCGCGCTCCCTGGTGGGGAGCGGGGGGCGGGCGTTTAGGCCTTATTAAAAGGGTGGGGCCTGGGGTTTAGGGGGAGCGGGTGGACGTACAGAGGAGGTGATTTTATTAAAGTGGTTTGAAATGGGACTAAAGCATTCGGTGTGTTTTACCTTTAATTTTTTAAGTAATGTTTCTAAGAAAACCAAGTTGGGATTACATAGGCGACTCTTACACTGTTAAGAGATCCAGAGGAAAAGTTCATGGTAGTTTGCCATTGTGATTAAGTATTGTGTCTGATTTTGAACAACAAAAATGTGGCCATTTAAAAAATCCTGAATGTGGTATAAATGGCATTTGGATTGGAGAAAAAAATTTGTCTACTGTTTTTCACCCTGTGAAGCTGTTTCAGGTACCCATGTCTGCAGTAAGGTTTTCTGGACCCACTTGGTTAGAGAATACTGATAAGACTCTCAGACATGTGTCACATGTAACTTAAGGAGTGCAAATCTGTTTTTCTATGGAATTGTGTACATATTTGATAATGTGCACTACAGAGGTGGGGGTGGAATCCAAACAAAACTTGTATTGAGCTACCTTTTTTGTGTCATGGAAACTTCTTTTAACTGTCATGCATTTCTCTAGTAATAGCTCTTCAAGTCTGCAATAAAAAATGGCCTCCAATAAAACTACATTGGTAAGTTAATGAAAACCTAAATATGTAAGGATCTAACTCACAATTTTTTTCCCAAAAATGATAACTTTGCATCTCTGTGGTAGATATTTACATCCATATAAATTGTCCAAACCCCTCTCCCCTAAGTGTTGTAATGGGGAGAATTAGGGTCAAAATATGAAATCATTACATTAAGGTAGTTACTGACTTGTTTTAATAGTGTCTTAATTAATTTAAAGAAACCCAGTCTTGGGAGGGGTAGCACTATATGAATTTTACCAAGTTTTTTATTTTGAAATAAAACACAGAAGCTTACATAAATGTAATATTATAAGCATAGAGCAGTAAAGCTCTTGTTCACTGGCATAATCCCTAAATCACTCTGTACAGGATTCTAGAGAAAAATATTTTCAGTACTGCCCAGTTTAAAGAGCACAGGTACTTTGTACACTTAGATGGGGACAAAAGTAACTGAGGCAGATTACTCTGGTCATGTCAAATTTCAAACTTACTTATACTGAAATACAGAAGGGCCTTATATTTAAGTCAAGAGCAGTGTTTTTTAATACACAAAATGAGCAAGATCACACACATGTCCAGGAAGGAGAGAGAATTAGAACTTAGAACTGGGGCTTTGCAATTGAATTTTTTTTTTCTTTCCCAGCAGTGTCTTAACCCCTAAAGTTTGCATTCTTAGGCTTGATCAAAAGCTCTACAAATGTGTAAGGACATGTATATTCAGTCACGTCATTACAAGTTCTTTAAAGTGAAATGATCTATGAAAATATAAGTCAGGAAATTCAAAGTTTTGGTTCCCACAGTATTTAATTCTAACACATTGCATTAATAATTGCAAGCATGTAAAGGTGAATGTTAACATCTAAATAAAGCAACATTTACTTTGGTTTGTATAGTCTCCTTGTGTTTCACACTAAAAAGAGCAAGTTGGTGATTTTTAATTTGTGCCATCATTAGATTGCACATTTAAGTAAGTCTAATATCCTAGGAAACATTGAAGTACGAAATGGAAGGCTTGTCTGTTGAGTCCCGTTGGCACAAATGATTCCCATCAAAGGCATCAGTTAGAAAAGCAAAGTATCTTATGTGCCCCTTGAAAATTGAATTGTCCAAATGCCACAATTGGTAAAAGTGTAGATAATCGAATTGGCTTTAGGGTCACCTGTGTCCTTCAAGTATTGGATGGGACAGGAACTAGTTGTCTTTGGGCCTTTGTAGATGAATATAGATACAGAAAGCAGACAAAAAACATGGTTCTATTAAATTGTTGCACGCATACTTTGATAGTCTTAAATGTATGACTCACTGGTATATTCAGTGTAGAACTGGTAAATATTTTATCCTTTGTAAAACAAATTGACAACCTTAAAATTTTTTAGTTACCTTTTCATTCTAAGATTTCTGTTAATGTTGTGAGATAGTGTGTGCTGCAATTTAAATGGGAAAGTGGGTAGATTTTCTTAATAAGATGAGCACTTGAAACTAGCTTGTGAGTGCCATAGTAGTAAATACTTAATTTTTCTGCCAATTTTATCTTCGTGTTGATCCTTTTCATTTTCTGTCTTCATTTCATTACTATCATTCTCTTAATTTCTTACCTTTATGAATGAACATAGCCATTTTGTTTTTCATTTAGGATCAGTCTCTAATAAGCTTTTGTCTATACCACTTATTCACTCCATGCTTATCTGCACTGTACTACTGTACAGAAGCAGAAAGCTATCTGAGTGCAGTACCAATTCTCTTGACTGATGAAAATTGTAAGGTCTGGCCTGAGGGTGGTATCCAACAAAATCAGATGTCTGCTGCATTTTTTTAATTCAGGATTTTTATTTTGTGTGCATGTACCTTTAAATGGCTATCTAGTTTTAATGCCTTTTTTGCAGTTATGAGGTATTTGTTACTTTTTCTGCTTTTGTGTTACATTGACGTCTATTGACAGATGATCTTAGTGACTAGGCAATTTTTTTAAATAGCCCCTGTCTTAAGAAGAAGAAATTTTAAAATGAGCAGAACATTTGGGTTCCCCCCCCTTAGTCTCTTCTAATTAACCACTTCAGTTTTTTGAAAATGTATCCATTTTCAGTCTTCTCTTAACAAACCTATTTGAGTTAATGGAAAACAGCATCTTGAGCTTGGCCTCCTGCTTCTCTCAAATAGAGCTATAACGAAAAAAAAGCCCACTAACCTGAAAATGTGTTTAAAGTGGTTTTTGTTGGCTACCAATTTTAGACTCTTTCTCTGGAGAAAAACAAGGACTTCTTCACGTTGGAGGATTAAAATAAGAGCATTTGGCCCCTTGAAGTTAAAGTATAGCTTTGTTCCACCTAGTCAGTAATGTTATTAAAAGATCATGGAAAAATAATCTTGCCCTATTTGATTTTCTTGGTTCACCTTGCAGTTGATATCAGGATTCTAAACCATGTTTTCTATGTAATTGAGTCTTTTAACATTGGTGTTTGAATTGGGGAAAAGGGTCTTAGTGTTTACTGTTTTGGGGGCTGTGGTTTTAAGAGTTATCATTGATAATCTCTGTCATCCTTAAATACTTTCTAGTTGTTTGTTGCTGTGTTGTAGTTAAAATGAGTGAAAGTTCTAGTAAATTTGGTCTTGTAGACTACATAGAAGTATAACTGGAAAAAAGATAATATTTTCCAGATAGTATTTTTGTTTATTATTTCAGTTAAGAACATGGTGGGTGATACGTTTGAGCTAAACCAATAGGA